AAAAAAAAAAGGAATATTACAGGTCCCTTCACTTTGGGGGAAGTTGCACTGGCCTGTTTGTCAAGAACAAATGAAAATGTTCAAAATTGCAATTATATATTCAAAATCAAAAATTTTTGTTTGCTTGTTTTTTAAAGACAGCTCAGTATCCAGTAGCTTTAGCGGAGAACCACTGCTGGTGATAGGCTCCTGAAAGCATATTATCACAAGAGTTTATGAAGAGTAAATACACCAGCTTGTTTGGCAGAACAAAGTTCTCCGCTTAAGCACAAGAAGCATAATCAGAACAGGGAGCAATAAAACAAGCTCTCTACCTAAGTCCAACAATGCCACCCAGCATAGTTTGAGTGATATACTCATACAACCAAAACAGTAATTCTGAATTTAACCATAGGCCTATGTGTCATTTCGGTTTAACTGCAACATGATTTTTTCCTCGCCATGAAAGTCTCTTTTTAGATTACAAACTCTCCTCATCTCCAGGATACCTACTCAGACTGTAAGAATCGAAGGATAATTCAGACAAGCAAAAAACTGTTTGTAGCATTAGTTGCACAAAATTAAGAGACACCAACTCAAAGTTTGTTAATAATGGGTACAATTCTACCAAACAATCTCCACTTCCAAATAAAAATAAGCAAGCGATCTTAAAGAGTCAAAGTACTGCTGCAAAACAAGCTGATACTGGGATGAGCAGTCTTCTCAGCTTTACTTACCTGGACAGTCAACTTCATCACTCTCATCCTCACAGGTGGGCCATCCATCACACTGCCAATTTGAAGGGATGCACTGGATGGTACCACTCCGACACGCAAACTGCCCTGGGGTACAGCGGAGCTCTAGGAAAGAAGAAGAAAGTTGTGCTTTGTTTGAAGTGTTATTTATTCTTGCAAGTCTATACACATTAATCACCCGTCATGTAACATATCACTGAAGCGTAATGGACAAAACCTCTGGATAACTCAGCCTGTTAAAAACTGCTTCATTTCAGACCACTTCTGTGTTTTAAACTTCACGTTTGTGGTTTTAATACACAGGAGGGCCAGATTCCAGTGCTTGGGAAATAATTCTCTCAAACATCCATAGTAAAAAACTTCCTGATAAAGATACTATGTGAGCAGCTATCACCATACGTTACCCATTTACTTCTTGTGGGGCACTGAGGACGACTTGTTCACTTTTCTCAGAACCAAAGTTCAACAAAAACATGCTATGGTAGTTAAGTGCTAGATTACACAATAAATTGAGAATCCTATTTCCACTCCAATCACTATGTATGCCAGGACCTGCTAGACTTGCACAAACGTCCAGCCTGATTTAGAACCATTTCATAGAACTATTTGTAAAACAATTTCTATATCCATGAACCTGTTTTCACTTTCTAGCTTAAGCTCTTTTGTAGAATTTCTCCATACGAACACATCCTTTACAAGAAACTGTCAATATCTGCAAACATGTAGTTCCTGCTTCTGCAAGAGTACTGCCTACTTGCCATCATTATACTGTCAAACCTAATTAGCATTATAAAAAGTACAATTTTTTTCAAAGCTTTTTTATATCAATTCCATCTATCAAATGCCAGAACCTAATAATTCAGCTTCATTTTGTGTCCCTCAAAACATTTTGCGGGGGGGGGGGGGGATATGGGGGGGGGAATCTGTCTACACAAGTAAACAATTCTAAGCTTGTTTACAGATGGCAGGTCTGCAAGTCGCCATTAGCATCCATAGGCTCACTTTCACACCAGACCATCACCATCCATCTTTCTTCTGGGTGGTGGGAGTCAATTTTCCAACCAGTGTTTTTGAACAATTTAGCACGTTTTCCTCTCAGGGAGCTACAATAATCCCAGATAAGCTATGTCTAGAGAACAAGCACCTTTAAAACACTTGGGGTTGTTGTTTTTTTGCTACAATAATCCCAGATAAGCTATGTCTAGAGAACAAGCACCTTTAAAACACTTGGGTTTGGTTTGTTTTTTTTTTTTTTTTTAAAGTAAAACACACTCATCCCTGATTTTGAAAGAATCAAGCAGGTGACTGTTTTGCAGGGAGAAACCTCTAAAAGAAAATTTTAAATACAGGTATGTATTCTCCCATCCACAGTTTACAACCTAAGAAAAGAGCTGTAATTGCAGTTGTTACCTTCTTGAAACACGTCTAAGTAAATCAAGACAGAGGTCACATTTAAGTTTTCAGACAACATGACCAGGCATAGTAAAACCAGTCATCATGCACTCTCAATAAAAGCTGTGCCCCTACACCTAGTAATTGGTATAGAATATTGATAACAGGCTTCTAATTTGATGTTAGACTAAAATCCAGTTCTAGTACTGGTTCCTCTTCAAATCACAGACCTGCTTTTCTAGAAAAATAGAAGTGGGCACATCCTCTTAGCAACCACCTACTCAGAGCAAACATTCAGGTCACAAAATGGCTAAGAACTCACACAGACCTGGCAGACTACTGACGGCAACAACAGACCTTACAGCAAGACAAGAGTACTTTCACCCATTTAGAGTTTTACTCAGTCCAAACAGCTAACAGTGAATGAGTACAGTGGAAAAATTAAAAAAAAAAAAAAAAAAAAAATCAGTCTACCAGCTCAGGTCATAATGATTTCCCCCCACCCAGAACAAAAACTGAAGTAATTTATGTAGCCCAAAGAGGGAAAGGGGGAATAAAAGGTTAAGCTTCACTTGCCCAATGTAGCAAGTGAGAAAATTTAAAATCTATCTTTAAGTTGGGGGGGGGGGGGGGGGGGACGGGACGGGACGGGGACACGACCAAAACAAACAAACACAAAACCTCAAGCTGAAGTTAAAACTATTCAAATTTCAAGTTCACAGGAAAGCGTCAACTCTTCAGTAAATCATTGCAGCTTCTTTCACCACTTTTGCGCAATGTCAGAACTTTCTAAGAAACCTTCCACTGCGCGCTACTATCGCAGTTTCAAGTACAGAATTTACACTGGAGCCTGTAGTAGATATTTTAACACGTGAAAGGCTATCCTCACCCCAGCTCCAGGTTTCCATTACATCCACCTGCAGTTATGGCAAAATTCAATTCAAAATTTGATACTTTAAATAAACTCTTAATTTTTTTACTGCTTGATTTTAATGGAAGTCACACACACACCCTGTGAAGAAAGCTATTCTGCAGCCCTCTAGTTTCGCAGGCAGCATCCACTACAAGCCAATGTACACATGGGAAAAACAGTAAAGAATACTTTTGTCTCTCTACAATTTCATACAGCTATTACTATTTTATGTACAATTACATATGACTGGTTCAGATAAAAGGATGACTCCATCCCAATATTATGGGCATTAAAAAAATGCCAGTTACATGCCGTAATGTCTTCCTGTATGACACTCCTCTCTGAAGAATGTGGATACATGGAAGAGTACAAAACATTTCTATTAAAACACCACTCAAACCAGCTGAACAATTGTTCCCAATGGAAACCATGCTATGTCAGATGCACTAATTATTTCAGACCAAGGAACACGAACTGCTACGCAATTCTATTGCAGAGGGGAAAAAAGTGACACTAAAAGAAATACTGTGAAATGAAAATCTCCATATTCTGCAAACACTGCCAATAACACCTCCTGAGCCATCCTAACCCAGGGCCCGTATCCCCACATGTTATTGAACTACCTAAATCATTGTGCAGTTTCTGGAAGAATTTCATCTGAATTGTTTTGCTTCTACATGCTGTCTATTGTGGTTTAGCACAAAGAGAAACAAGATGCAATCATCTGAGAAAATCTAACCGCCTCTCTCACTTGTGCTCAGGGTAGGTTTGGACATAGCTGATGGCCTCCTTGAGGACTGATGCTTAAGATCAGCTCTTTCAGACACCCCTTGCCATTGATGGAGTACAGATTTCCACTCAGGCCCCAACATACGCATACCGGTGGGCTGTCATCCGGACAAGATACGGCAGTGGGCAGGCAGCTCAGCAGCACAGCCTGGAGCGCGCAAGGGCCGCCTGCCGACACCATGCCCTCAGCCCCATGAGCCGTGCACAGCCCTGCCCACCGGGCTCAAGACTCCCACAGCAGAGCACATCAGCTAGCCAGGGCAGGAGCCTTCAGAGGTAAGACAGAGACATAAAGATAGATGGAAGCCTATAATGAACCTGTGAGATACTCGGCCAAGGAACAGAGAAATTTGGGAGAGGTGAGGATGCACAGGATAGGTGCTAGTCTCCACAATCCTGTCAAGCATTTCATTTCAGTAGCCTATTTTTAAGTCAAAACAGCATTAAAATGAAAACATTTCAAGCCTGTCTCTTTACTGCAGAAAAGGCAAGTCACGCCACCAGCAGCAGAACAGGATTCATGAAGTATGAGCAGTAGCGAACACCAGTACAACACAATGTAACCATCCATCTTTCCTGAAATGCAAGTAATCACTGAACACATGGTCAGACTTTGTACTTTCCAGGAGTGTAGTAAATAAAAACTGTTTCTTCACCCATATAAGATTTCCAGTTCTTCAAAAGAACAGCAAAGTCTCAAAAATACCAGTCCCACTTCTGTCCCTAAAGTCAGATATCCCACACTGTTCATAGCTATTGATGGTAACTCACAGCAAGGAAGGATGAGCATGAAAGTATCTTAAACCATTACCTCCCAGCAGCACTAAAGCCACGTATTTTCCACCAGCTGTTAAAGCAGAAACATTTTGTATTTTCAATATTGTTTGAAAATACGTAATGGCACAAGTTCAGCTACAAGCAAGCAGCTGTTGCAGCAGAGGCACCGATACGACATTAGCTAACGGCATCAACAACTGCCTAGAAGCGAAAAAATGGAAATGCAACCACCTCCAGCATTCACGTACAATGTGACAAGTTACATTAGCAGTATTATGATTCACATATGAAATTCTAACACAAAAGGCTTCTTTTTCTTTTAAGGATCAGATGCAGTCTTTGCTATGCTACAGAACAAAATTTAGTAGACTGAAATCTCATTTTAGAGCAATTAAATTCATCTGGCATTTGCTGGGAAGAAGGGAGGCATGTAAAACACTGAAATAGCAGCAATTGCAGTTCTTGCACTGTACATGATATAAACTTACAAAACATCACGAAGTTCAAGCAGTGTGAGAACATAAAAACACTTCAAGCAGCAAGGTGTCATTATACAGTCTCTTCACTTTATTGTCTCAAAGCACTTCTAGAATGTTAACCCTCAACAATCTCGCTAACCACTGCATCCTTCTGCCAGTGGTTACAACAAAGTACAGAAAAATTACATAGCTTGCCAAAGGCTACAGATAAGATGAGCCTATGAGCAGAAGTCAGCTGTCCTGACTGAGCTTCCACACTTTCACACCACCACCGTGTTTCTTCCCGAAAACCCAAGCAACCTGCCAGTTCACCAGCACACTCCTACCTGAACAAACATTTGTCTTTCAGAAATATCAACAATTAATAACAATGCATTCTCTGGTAACACGTCACCTGTTATCTCTAGCAACAGTTTATTAAGAGCTACAAATTGGCCAGATGGAGCAAGAAACTCCTTAACTTCATATAAAAAGAGAAGAAAAATTGAAATCAGGTTCAGACCATGTAGACCTTGTTCTACAAGCTTAATATATAACCCAAGATAAAACTTACTGTCAAGTGAAGGCCAAAAAACCCAATACCAATTTGTTGGGACACAGTATTAGATAATGTAACCTGCCCATGAGTCACTCACCTGAAAGAAGTCTTGCCAAAGCTAGTCGTGGACCTGTAATTTGAAATTTAAAAGAAAACTTACAAAACAGTTGGAAACTTAATTAATCAAACACCACAAATAACAGGCAAGATTATAAATAAATTTAAACAGTGCCACACAAACAAGAAGTCTTCATCTCCTTCAGCTGCCAAATATTATTTTTCTAAGTTAGTCAGTGACAAAACAGACAAGATTTTTGACTAACAGAAAAATCTAGGTTTCATACAGGAAAAAACTAAGTTTTCAAGGTGGTTGCTTACACTCTTACAGAAAGCTTTTTGTTCCAAAGATTTTTTCCAATTACATGTTAAATGCCAGGTGCTTCCCAGCACTCATCACGTATTTCAACACAGGGCTCAACTAGCTTTTTAAATTTTCTTTACAGCACGCTCATTTCCAGATTTTCTGCTAAGTACTCAAAATAGACATTTACAACAAGCATTATCCACAGGAAGGACTTCGTGACAGATGAATAAAATACACACCCACCCACCCTGCTTTAATTTCCAGCCAGCTTCACATGTTTCATAAAACAAACACCTTTTTGCCATTATAAAATGATCCAGGAAGCCCTTTCAGGTTTAATCATCTCGTATAAACTTTCCGTGTAATTGAGAATGTTTTCCTTCTGGAGCCCGAGTGCTGGGAAGTCACAGTGCATCCTTCCTGCAGCAGATGTGCACTTGGTCAGCATGCTGCCCTGGGCGTTACACTACCCGCAACGTGTATTTTCTGCTTCATTTTAAGTCTTTCAGACATGCATTTGGACTAGGACACCTCCTACTTGCATTCAGACTGGAACTAATTTCTTATTCATTTTCCCCTTTGTTATGCAAGAGATAAGGGATAATTAGTTACTCAATAATTGTTTTATTTGAAAGAAAGGCAGTGAGGATCTATATCCAGTATCTGAGACTACTTTTCAACACATTAAATCTCATTTTAGAGCTTCCAATATCAAACCAAGACTGTAATAGGCACACGAGAAAGTGTTGATTCGGTACAAGTTCACCTTGCTAGTTCAGTTTTCTGAATGAATTTGATGAGTTGGCTTTGAAACAGCAAGCTTCAGATCAAATGAAGCTATTGTCTGTCCACATTAATTTTAAGTCAGATCAGCTACAGTTTGTCCCCCTGCAACCAGAAAGATTGCATGCTCCAACTAATTCAGCAGAAATATAGTTGTACAGATCCAGCATCAATTAATGTGGAATTGGGGTCTCATAATAGTTGTCTGCCAATGAAGCTAGAACATCTACTAATGTGTTTAATTTATTTTTTTAAATATTAGCTCTAATAGAAGACATTTTCTGATATGTTGGGATTACACACGTCTCCTCGCAGGCAGAACAGCTAGTTTCAGCCCTGTGCTACCAGCAGCTGCCCTGTGAACAGAGCTGGGACCTTCACCTCCATACCGTAAGAAAAGCCTTGATTACTGACCAGTCACAGCTCTGACCCACGAAGAGCTGTACCAGGTCACACCACCACAGGGGTAAGAGAAGCAGCAGGGGTGGAAATAGCTCTCGTGAATGGGCAAAAACCAGCAAGCTATAAAAATTTCTGCCAAGTGACAGAAGCCAACTGCCCATGAACCTCAGAAAAGCACCTCTCTAGTCTACAAGCACTATTTACCCATCAAAACACTTCTGCAAAGATAAGCTGGTGGGTGAATGAGAATGCTTTGATACTGTCTTCACAGGATTATTTATCCTCCCTCAATTCAAGACAGAGATACAAAAGGAATTCAGCCCAAAAAAATGCTACATCCAATAAAAATGCCAGAGGCCCTGTCTCAGGTACACATAATAGACACCTCCTGTAAAACATTAGGTGAACACAAAGTTTTCAAAATCTAAATTTCAGCCGTGTATTTCCAAGACACTGAAGTTTACCACTACAGGAACCAGTGGAAAAAGGAAGACTAGAAAGCCCAATCTCTTCTAAGGTAGAAATGTATCCCTGACAGACAGAAGATTCCCCTTACTAATAAACCATGTGTTCCTAACTCTGATACATAAACCACTAGTGCTACAAAAAACTCAATGCCTTGTCAATTCACAGTTTAAGAGGTGGGTAAATGCATGAAACAATACAGATGAGGAGCCAGAGCTCTAAACTAAAGCCTCTAAAATATAAGTCTCAATTCAGGAGCATGCTTTGATACATAGAGTAAACTCAGTGACTGCAATCACTGATTATGAAAGTTCGGGTTCTTCTAGTTGCAATGATTTAATTTCTCTTTATTAAAGAGATTCACCAGTAGTAAATTCTGATACATTAAGATATTCTTTTGGTAACTAAGACTATGGATGCATGTTAGGTTTTAGCATTTACATAGCTAGTATAGATTTGAATCTATTTTAGCTTTTAATACAAGGAAATGCCACTTTTCATTTGCTACACTAATTGTTTGTTCTTGTCTGCTGAGCTTCATTTGTATGGAAATTGAAATTTGATTAAATGCACAAACCCAGCATTTAATGTTATTTCAATTATAAGCTATTACTCTAACTGAAATGCATGTATTGGAAAAGATAAGCTTGAAGTACATGGTTTGGCTTTGTGCGTAAGCTTTTAACGAACAATGGCAGTTTTGTGTGTACCTCACGTGTACTTCGCTTATTTTGGTCATATTTCTCAAGACTGGATCTGGTAGATCCTCTGGCATCATTTTTATTTACAGACTGAAGGAAAACAGAAGACAAAAAAAACTTCCTGCTTTCTCAGTGTAAGTCACTCATTGTCCCAAACCAGATGAACCAACCTGTAAGAAAATATTCTGTTCAGATTTCAAGAGGCAATTACAGCTATCAAAAGCCGATTAAGCATTAACAAAAACTCTTAACTACAGGTGCTTAGGCCAGTAACTCTTCTTATTCAGATTTTAACTTGTCCAACAGGTCTTTCTTATATTTTATAATACTGAACTTACATACTTAAGACCTGTATGTACATGTTACACTATCCTTTCATATTTTAACACATTTAAGTTTACTAAAATTGAAATTTTTTTTTTTTCTTAAATCACCATTTCTATATATCCTGCCCCATGCTAAACTATACAAGCATGATCAGATCCTAGCATCTTCAGCCAGAAGCCTAACCCCCTAACTCCTTAGCTCCTGGAGATTTTACTCTGTATCAGTGCTCAATAAATGCCTGCAAACAAGCATCAGAAACAAAACAACAACAAAAGAAACACCACACCCTAACCATCAAACACACATGCAGCTCCATATCTAATATTTACGCTCAAGAGGAAGCACAGCGTAACCAATATTTCTCTAGACTCGTATTTACTGAAGTAACAGAAACTTTGAAATATTCTTAATATTCCAAATACAACAATACCACAATGGTTCTCTGATTTTAATCCTCAGGAGACACGTGAAAAAAACTGTCCATAAGCTAGTCCTCTGCACTTGAAAAGCAGGTTTCATAACTTGGGTTTCTCTTGAGTCCACTGCTGAAGTTCACCGGAGCAGGTACCATACCTCACACAGAATTGCTGACAGTCTGCCAGCTTGTAAACAGCAGGGCAGTCCTGCCCAGCCTCTGCTCCTGGTGGCCAGAAGCCTGTTGCTGAACAAAGGGTTTTCAGTGACAGATAAGCTGACTACAAACTTGAGGATGTTCTGACACAGTCTTTGAACAGGTTTTCTTGTTTTTAACTTGTCTCTGAGGTATCACTGATCCCACGCAAAGGCTCTGCTCTCAGGCAAGCGAAGCCATACCTAAGTGGTATTTCCCCTCAGCTCCAGATCGCGGAGAAGTTTTCGCTATCCATTCATCTCCCAGCAGGTTTCTTTATGTCACTTGGTGAATCTTACTTCCATTACATGTTTTTAGATTTATCCTTACCCCACCCACTGCTGCATTCAATGTAGCAGAGTGAGCACATACAGTACTTTAAAACAAAGCCGCAGTAGGAGAAAAACAGACTATGATAACACCACCTTATTTTCAGAGAAGAAAACTGTTTGTCAAGCTCACAAGTCACCATCAGACAATTATCCATTCCATAGATTAAGTTTATTAAAGTTCCTCAATAAAATTAGTTCTGTTTACTGTTCTTCAAATTAAAAGCCTACAGAAGAACACAGCGCTCTGTTTTCACGTTCAGCTCCACATTAGATACAATGCTCAGCCGTTCACCTGTGCTACTGAAAATGTGCCTAAGCATGATACTTAGGTCAGGTAGCTTTCATTGGTCATGGCCTGAGCGTGCACAGGAGGCTATGAAAGCACAACGGCACAGAGCCCAGGAAACCAAAAGGGCCCTGTGCTATGTACAGAGCCAAACGCAACCCATACCTATTCTCAAACTTAATTCCAGCTCCTGAAAATTAGAGATTCTGGAGTTATAATCCCATTTGGTAGGAACACATCAGTTCAAAAAATAAATAAATAATACATATTAGAGTTGTTGGTATTTTCTGCAAGACCTCAGCATGCAGTTTCATGAAGTAATTAAAATTGTGACAGCACTCCAGTTGAAAACTGTAAATCCTTAATGAATAACTCTAATGAACACTCTGTATTACCTAGTGTTCTGTCATAGTAAGTTATGCTAGATGAACCCAACATCCATCAAAAGATTTTACAGCGTGGTAAGGAACGCTGGCAGTCTCCTTCCCCTCATCGGTATTATACCTACACTCTGCACGAGCTTGGAACTGACCCAGTTTCTCCTTGCTCACAAGTGTCATTCACTGTAATTCATTGTCTGCTATTTGTCTGGAGGGCAAACTCAAGGCCAGTAAGGGGGGGGGCAGGGAGGGGGGGTCAAAACAAAAAAAGCTAAGGCAGTGCAAGAGACCTGGCATTCAGCCAAAGCAACAACATCAGAGCTTCTTGCATGGGAACCCTGGTTATGACTTCCTAAGACTTAGAAAATACAGACTTTGTGCTTTATGAATGTGGACGCTTATTCCTAAAACTGAAACAGAAAAAAATATATTTCCCAATTCCCCAGTACTGCTAAAACCAAACAGAAAACAAAACTTGCT